CTGTGGGGAAGGTTGAAGATGTTTTAGGGTCCGAGTATAGTACCCCCTGCAGAAATCAGGGCTCCGTGCCCTCGTCCAGGTGGGGAGGGGGAAGGGAGTACATCATACCCTAAACCCTAAACCCGAAACCCTAAACCCTAAACCCTAAGCCCTGCCATGGTACCCTGCGCGTTTGGGGTTGGGGGCGGGGGGGTCGAGGGCTCATCGGTCTAAGAACCCCACCGCTTTGGTCCCTAGATTTGGGGGGAGGCGCGAGCCCCTCACATCTTCAGGCTGGAGGTGGAGGGCTTAGGGTTTGTATGTTTACAGGGTTTATAGGGTTTAAAGGTTTAAGGGTTTAAGGGGTTTGAGGGTTTAAGCGTTTAAGGGTTTAAGGGTTTAATTTAGGGGGCTAGCGTTGAGGAAGCGGAGGTTAGGGTTGAGGGGAGGGTTCAAAGCTCAAGGGGTTGGGGCAGTCGGTGTTTTGAGGGTTTGCGGCCACAGGCCTTAAACACGGAGACTGGGGCAAACCCTAAACCCTAAACCCTAAACCCTCAGCCCTGTTGCTTGGGCCCCCTGTAGCTCCCGCCGAGACCTTCGCAGATGCTGGGCCGGCAGGGCCCTTGCTTTGCGCAGGGTTTTGGGTTTTGGGTTTTGGGGTCTTGGGAGGGTTTGAAAGTTTTAGGGTTTCAAGGTTTCAGGGTGTAGGGGTTTAGGGGTTTAGACCCAGCTTACCTAGCCCCTTTTTCACGTTTCAGTCCGGGGGGGGGGGGGGGGCATCATAGGCCATCATCATCATCATCATCATCATCATCATCATCATCATCATCATCATCATCATCATCATCATCATCATCATCTCTAGGGGTTTCGGGTTTCGGGCGATCCGGCTGGGGAGCTTGTCTACCCCAGCAGGGACACTAAGCCCTAAACCCTAAACCTTAAACCCTCAATCCTTTATGCTTCCATGGTTTGGGGCTTAGATGGACATGGAACCCTGAAGCCCCAAGACCCCGAACCCCGAAGCCCCAAAGCCCAAAGCCCGGAAGAAGGGTTGTGCTTGCCGGCGCGTTTAGGGTTTAGGGTTTAGGGTTTAGGGTTTAGGGTTTAGGGTCTAGGGTGTAGGGTGTAGGGTTTAGGGTTTAGGGTTTAGGGTTTAGGTTTTAGGGTTTAGGGTTTATGGTTTAGGGTTACGGAACGAGGCGCGCACTAGGGCTATATTGGCGGGGAGGGGGGGCCGGGGCGATGAGGTACCTAATCAATTCAAATCACCAGAAGAACTGGCAAGACTAAGGATGATTGCCTAAACTACAATAGGGTCTCTAGTACGATTTGAGGATCATTCCCAAATTGAAAAATCACTTACCGAATATCGCTGATTCCCTATAGAGAACAAGTCCCTAAACCCTAAACCCTAAACCCTTAACCCTTAACCCTTAACCCTACCAAGAAGTAGAGAGCTCCCCTCTAAAGCGGTGGTAAGTCTGTAAGTTTGGTCCTCAGGATCCTTGAGACACGATAAAACCTACTACGCCCAAAGGCTTAGGATCCTTAACCCCTAAACCCTAAGAATCCTAAACCCTCGGGGCCCTAGGGTTTAGGGCTATTCGGGCTTAGAGTTCAAGGATCCTAGGGCTTCGGGTTCGGGTTGATAGGGTTCACTAGGATGCCCAGTAGTACCCTTATTCCCTTTTTGGGGGGTTTAGGTTCCCTTATAAACCCCTTTAAGCAAAAATGGGGACCCTTTTTTTGCCTAGGTTACTGGGCCGCCTAGTTCAAGGATCCCATGGTCTCAGGTTGAAGGGTCCCACAGTCTCATGCGGAGCCAACAACGAAGTTCGCCAGCATGGTTATGGCGAGCCGGTCGTCCGCTTAGGGCTATAGGTTCTAGGGCCCCTCGTGCGGTTTAGGGTTTAGGGTTTAGGGTTTAGGGATTAGGGTTTAGGGTTTAAGGTTTAGGGTTTAGGGTTTAGGGTTTAGGGTTTAGGGTTTAGGGTTTGCTGCACGGCTTTCCGCCCCAAAGCCTGTGCTGACAGGTTTCGGGAATCGTGCTCGCCGAGGCTCTCTGGGTCGAGCTGAAAAACATGAAAGCCCAGTGGTTCCCTTTCTAGGATGCCCAGTAGTACCCTTGTTCCCTTTTTTGGGGGGGCTTTAGGTTCCCTTATAAACCCCTTTAAGCAAAAAAGGGCACCCTTTTTAAGCCTAGGTTACTGGGCAGCCTAGCTTTTCCTGCTTTGGTTCAAGGTTCCCTTGTAAACAAACCAACCCAAAAAAGTGTACCCGGACAACAGTAGGGTACCCTTATTATAAGAGGGTTACGGGGGTTACCAGGAACATACAAGCAGGCTTTAGCTGTTCACCGTTTCGAATGTTTTTTTGCGTTCGCGGTTGAGTCCCTAAGGCTCCCTAAGCTTCCCTAAGGTTCCCTAGGTACCTCCCGCTTCCTAAGGTTCCCTAGGTACCTCTTTCCTTGAACCCCCGTCCTTTAAGAACCCCATAATTGTGAGTTAAGTAGACAGCTGTTCACGAGCTCCGCATGAGTTATTCTCAGAGGTGGTCCTTCAGCCCTTGAAAAACAGAGCGTCGACAGCACATGCGCGACCCCTGAACCTTCGATGTCCCCGAAAAGGACCAAGACGCGTAGTTTCGTGCAGCCTCTCACCCCACCTGCAAAAGGGGGCGCACAGCGCTGCATGTTGTTTGCCTCCAACTGGATGTTGGAGTACTGTACTTTAATGCTTTTTGTTGCTTCTGGGTTCCTATTGTAGCTACTTCTACCTAAAAAAATACTTTTTCCAGGGTCCACTCCAAAGTAGTGCTATTTAAAGGGTTCAGGGAGGGCTCTGGTGCCTGGCCAAAGAGCTCCCCATAAACGTACCTGGAACCTCTGGGGAGGGCTTTCTGTGTGTGGTTGTCAATTGGAGCCCCCCCCCCCCCCCCCCGAAATCCCAGAACCCCTAACCCCAAAGTCCATAAATTCCCAGAGCCCCCCGACACCCCCCTAAGCCCTCAACCCTAAACCCGAAACCCTTAACGCCCTTAACCCGAAACCCTAAACCCTAAACCCGAAACCCTTAACGCCCTTAACCCGAAACCCTAAACCCTAAACCCCAAACCCCTTTCACCCCCCAGGAGGCCGATCGCCTGGATCTCCGAGCGCAGTCCCAGCTCTTGCCCCCGGATAGCCCGCAGGGGAGCCTGGTCAGGTTTAGGGTTTAGGGTTTAGGGTTTCGGGTTTCGGGTTTGGGGTTTGGGGTGTGGGGTTAGGGTTTAGGGTTAGGGTTTAGGGTTTCGGGTTTAGGGTTTAAGGTTTAGGGTTTAGGGTTTAGGGTTTAGGGTTTAGGGTTCGGGGGCTTAGGTTTGGGTGCATGTCGGGAGAGGCCGAGGTTTTGAACCTGCGATGGTGGATTTCACAGCTTGTTGCTGCGAGGGTCTCGGTAGGGTCACCTGATCACCGGCCGTGTTTCATCTTCTTCGAACGTGAACCTGCTAGTAGTCCTGGCCAGCATCTACAGAACTTCCCGCGCGCCCGCCAAACGTGACTTAACATGAGGAGTTTAGGGTTTTGGGTTTAGGGCTTAGGGTTTAGGGTTTAGGGTTTAGGGTTACCCTTCCGGATCCCCGGCAGCATCAACCTGTTTTGCTAACAAGCAGCGTGGAGCACCTACCTTCCCCTTGAATCGGCAACATGGTAAGAACGATACAGCCCTCAGCCCTAAACCCTAAACCCTAAACCCTAAACCCTAAAGCCTGAGCTGCCAAAGGGCGATTCCCAAAAGCCAAATCCCAAAGATCCCAAGCCTCAGCGCTGTGGCTTCGGGTTTAGGGACCCCAAACCCCAGGCCGTAAACCCTGAACCCCACACTGGGCACCCTAAAGCCTAAACTCTAAGCCCTAAACCCTAAACCCTAAACCCTAAACCCTAAACCCTAAACCCTAAACCCTAAACCGTCCAACTTCGCTTCCCGGGCACTTCGGCTGAGGCTCCCGGGGAGCACGCCGACCCCCGAGGCAAAGGCTGGCACACCTAGAGTTACAGGAGCCTTCAGGTTTTTTGGGGGTTTAGGGTTTAGGGTTTGGGGTTTAGGGTTTAGGGTTTAGGGTTTGGGGTTTAGGGTTTGGGGTTTGGGGTTTGGGGTTTGGGGTTTCTAGGGCTTCTAGGGTTAATAGGGCTTTTTGGGATGGCAGCCTTTAGGGATAGGGTGCTTTGAGGGTTTTGTGAGCAGGCTTTAGGAGGTTCCCAGGGCTTTGTAGGGTCTGGCGGAAATGAATAGGTTAAAACCCCAACCCTAAACCCTAAACCCTAAGCGCCAAACCCTAAACCCTAAACCCTAAACTTAAGCCCTAATCAGTAGGGTTGATTGCAGATGGTGAAGGGGGTCGAGGCTTCGGCTTGCGTTGTAGGACAGACTTCTCGCGAAGCCACTAGGCCACAAGCCACTAGGGTGGTTGTTCCCTTTTGGATCCCTCTCATAATACGGCACCGAATATTTTGGGGTACCCAAAAAGGGACCATAATTTTGACAACCACCGAAAAAAGTGATCTGCATCTGCAAGATCGTTCTCCGGAGTTCGGACGCAGGGTGTTGGCTACACCCGAAGCCCTAAAGGCTTAAGGTTTAGGGTTTAGGGTTTAGGGTAAACCCCTACACCCCACACTGGCCCGTCCACCCTTCAGTCTGGGTGATCGGTACTTTCTTACGTGGCGCGCCCGCAAACACCTTCCTGTCCTTGCTAGGAACCCTAAACCCTAAACCCTAAACCGCAGAAATGCGGTTGGCAGCTTTAAGTCCTGTGTCAGTCCTCTTTTGAGCTCGCATGTTGCCTCCTAAATTCGCTGAAGAGATGCCTGTAAACATGCAACTATCGGCCCAAACTAGGGGCCCTTTGAGCTAGATTCACTACGGGCAATGGAAAAGAGCCGCCGAGTGCTCTAGAACGATATCACTTTCTTTAGTGACTCAGATTGCCTGAGACATTGGTGCCGCGGAGCAGGTTCGATCAGGGCGCCATCGTATGACATGTCTTACAAAGGGGGCAACCAAGATGACAAGGCTGGTGCTGGGAACAAGGTTCCTGCTTGGAATGGGTCTCCAGAGACTTTCTTTCATTTCACCCAGGAGGTGAAGTGGTTCCTTGCTGGGACCAAGACATCAGAGCGAGCATACGCGGCAGCGAGGCTAGTCAGGAAGCTTCTTGAATCTGACTACCCTGCTTTGCGATCCTTGATGTACCGTTTGGACCCCTCCGAGTTCAGGGATGAAGCGGCGATCGCGAGATTGATCCAGTTCTTGGAGGCGAGCCCGATGAACAAGCAGCCAATCCCAGATGCCGGGGCGAAATTGTCAGCTTACTACAGGAAGTTGGCAAGACGTTCAGGGGAGACGATTCCGCAATTCCTTATCAGGGAGGAGACGCTGCATGATGAGATGTGGCGAGCACTTCAACGGCTTCTTCGAGAGAAGGAGCTTGACTTCGAGAGATACGATGTCACCATGGCTGAGTTGAAAGAGTTCTGTGGCATAGCCGGTGATGCCAGTGTGTACTATGGAGGCATCGGGGAGCAGGAGAGCACGCGGACGACTACGCCGCCTGCAGGATCTGCAGCGGCCTCGGAGCAAGATGAGGAAGAACAACGGCCGGGATCCTCCGAGACTCGGTCGGCGACGCCTGCGCCTGTACAACGCAAGCCCCTTGACATGATCCAGCGGCTTATGGACAAGGGCTTGGTCCCCTTGGCGGCGTTGGATATCATCAGGGGCTGGATGGTGCTTGAGATGGCGTCGGAGAACGACACGGAGAAGACTCTGGTGAAAGCATCGGCGCAGAATAAGCTGGGGTATGATAGTGTCCGCAGGGCGCTTTTGACTCTTCATGAAGATCGAGGTAAAGGTTTCCAACATCCGCGTGGACTACGGCATGGACCTGGCAAGGGTAAGTATGGGGTGATGTATGCCATCGATGAAGAGGGCGATGTTTCCGGTGAAGGCCTGGACGAATGGGGCAGCGACCAATGGGATGCTGAATGGGCTTACTGGACACCCCACGAGGAGTATGGCAGCGTGGCCCAGGACTACTACTGGGTGGAGCCGGATTCCAACGCGGAGGAGAATAATTTGGAACAGGACGAAGCAACCTCGAATCCCCAGCTGGAAGAGGCCATGCAGGCTTTAGCAAAGCTCCAGGAGGAAGAGAAAGATCTTCAGGTCTATATGGCAGATGCCCAAAGGAACCTCGAGCAGGCTCGCAAGGCGGTGGCGGCTGCTAAGCGAGATCGGGGTTGGACTATGACGTCAGCTTCGGGGAAGCCAGCCTCAAAACCTACGAGTACATGGATGCAACAGGGCAAGGGCGTAAACCCGAATGTCATGTACTTTAACAAGGGCAACAAAGGATATCACCAGGATCCCTTCAAGGGAAAGAAGGGGCATGGCAAGATGAAGGGCAAGTATGCGAGTTGGATGGTGGAGCCGCAGTACCAGATGATGACCATGGATGTCCTTCCTTCGTCCGCCCCCTCGAGCTTTTCCGGTACGCCCGCCGAGCTCTTGCAGGCAGTGCCCGAGCAGTTGATATACCCGACGGAGGCGGTCTTAGACACGGGAGCAACAGTGTCTGCAGGAGGAGAGGCGGCAGTGAATGCGTTGATTTCTAGTTTGGCACAAGTCCGTCCGGATATGAACTTGACCATTGTGCAGCAGGATCGGCCATACTTTCGTTTTGGCTCAGGGTCTTGGGGTCAAGCGTCTTACAAGGTGAATATTGATATACCAGGACAGTCTTTCAAATTACAATTCTACGCTTTACCGTCACCTGGTGTACCCGTGTTGCTTGGTATGCGGGAGATGAGGCAATTGGGCATAATTATCAACTTGGATACCGCCAATGCAATTGTGTTGAACAAGCCCTGGCAACTTAGGGTGAACTCTAAGCAGCAGATTCTTATGGACATGAAGGCCGTTGTCGCAGAGATTCCCATGCTATCCTGTGGCAGAAGTGTTGCCTTTTGCCTTCTTGAAACCGACAGTCATTCGATGAACATGATTGAGCCCAACGATGTGCCACATAGTGTAGCCGTGACGTCTACGAATGTAGATACAGGCAAGACATGTGGTGATGCATGCGGTGACCGAGATGGTCACACTTTGTTTCCTTTGCAGGTCAGTGATTGTCAGCAGCTTCATCATGTTGAAGCTTCAGTTGCAGAGTCAACCCGTCCTCATGGACTTTTCCCTGACAGGATCCTGCAAAAACACTTAGGTGTGAATTCGTCCGATCTTTCATTTTTGTTGAGCAAGTCCCGCTCGAGCAATTCCACCTCCAGCACTTCCTCTCAGCCTCTTCCTGGTTTCCTCAGTGATGGCGGCCCACTCCACGCAGGCAGCGATCGACGAGGCCACCAAGCAGATGATCAGGGAGACCGTGCGCGAAGCCGTGCGCGAGGAGGTGCAGGCGATAAAAGGGCGCAAGAGCAAGAGCAAGAAGGAGCCAATGCCAGAATTAGATACAACCAGAACCATGAAGGAAGAGAGCGCAGACCCCAGAATGCAGGCGACTCAATGGCCATGCTTCAACCGACATGTGGTGAAGAATGGCGGCAATCGGTTCGCCGTCTGGAGTCAATGCGCCCGATGCGATGTGCGTCTGACCTACACACCCAGGGTGGATGCGCCGGCGAACAGCAGGCGAAGCGAGTTACCAGCGCAGGTCATTGCTGCGCTGGAGCGCCTGCGAGCACAGGGCGTTGCGCCCGAGGACATGGATGGCAAGCTTGTGCGCAGTCAGATCAAGATCATCGAGCAGGAGTACGTGCTGAAGGGAGCCAAGACGGACAAGAAGAAGCAGGGCTACTCGGACAAGGCCCACGAGGATCACTCGAGCAACGACGCAATGAAGAAGAAGCCTCCGCCTCCAGTTCCCGTTGCCGGGACCGACTCGTCAGAGGAATTGGAGATGGACACGGAGATGGTGATAACACCCTCGCGTGTGAAGGGACAGAAGCAGCGCGAGATCCAGAAGAAGGAAGCCGACCCGACTGGCCAGGAGACGGTCAACAAGACGGGGAAGAATGCAGGCCAGTGAGTGAGCAACTGCTTCGAAGCATAGAAAGGTCTCTCCGGTTACCGGTCTTTCAAGGACCTGCTCAGTCACTCGTGGCTGTGAGGCAGGAAACGGATCCCATCAGCCTGTGGGAAGTATGCTGTGGAACGAATTCTACACTTACACAGGAGGTGACACGGAATGGTTTTCGAGCAGAGAGGGTTTCGTTGCAAACTGGTTTCGATCTCGAAAAACGATCTGATGTACAAAAGTTGATCGGTTCCATTCCTGAAAAGAAGCCACGAAAGATATGGGCATCACCTCGGTGTACGCCCTGGACAAACTCGCAGAATCTGAACCAGAGGACCCCAGCTCAGATCGAATCACTAAGGAGGCTGAGGTATCGTTCTCGTCGTCAGGTGCGGCATCTGATTCAGATTTTCAAGGCAGTCTTGGAGTACGATAACAGCAACGACGTATATTTTGAATGGCCAACCGCAGCCAAGCAGGGATGGGATCTGCCTGAGTGGAAGCAATTCCAAGACTGGCTCTGGAAACATTTTCAGCGTAAAGTGTTTTTCTGCAAGATTGATGGCTGTATGGTCGGGTTGCAGAATGGTGAAGGGGTACCAATCCGCAAACAATGGACGATCATGACCACGGATAAGTACTTTAAGGACCATGCTGAAGTTACCTGTCAAGGAGGACATACTCATGTTCCTGTGATTGGTTCGGGACGTGTGGTCGAGAAGTCGGGATACTATCCACAGAAGTTCGCTAAGCGCATTGTTCAGGTTTGGAAGGGAGCCCTCCATCAGGATAGTGATGCTTCAATCCTTAGTGACGTGCATGTTTTGCAACAAGATTTGGAGCAGTTGTATCCGACCACAGCCACAACGTCTTCATCATCGTCAGCGACCTTGCCTCAGAAAAGAGCGGCAAGCCGAGAGCCACGATCCAAAGGGCATATGGCAGATGCACCGCCGGGACCAGCTATCCCTGCTCAAAGCGGTACCGAACCGTCCGTTCAACATGACCCTAGTCCAGATGAAGATCGTGTCCTAGAAGAACAGCGACAAAAGGGAGTAGCATTGCTTCATCGACTACATAAAGCAGCTGGACACCCATCGAACAAAGCTCTAGTCAGGCTGTGTCGAGATCGGAAGTTGGCTAAGTGGTTGATAGAAGAAGCGGAACGACTAGTTTGCCAAGCATGTGTGGATGCAGAACGCGGTGGACATGGGGTCGTTCAGAAATCACTAGGACAACAACCGCACCCATGGCAAATGGTTGGCATTGATGTCCTAGAGGTGGCGTTCCCAGCTCAAAAATGCAAGTCCAGGTTCTTGATCATGACATGTTTGGCTATGAGATTCATTTCGCTAGTGCACCTCTGGACCGGGAGCTTTAGTGATACCGGAACCGATGCAGGGGAGAGAATCATCAATGCTTTTTGCAAAGGCTGGTTGCTTCATCGGCCTCGACCTGAATGGATTGTCGTGGACTCACAGTCATCCTTGAGATTCGGGCAGTTCCCAGAATTTCTTGAACATGCCGGGATTGGTCTAACGGTTGTGCCCGGTGAGGCACACTGGTGCCACGGCCGAACAGAAGCGATGGTGCAGGTGGCCAAGCGCACCATGCGGCGTCTGCGCAATGAGGCGCCGGATCTGTCACCGCAATCGTTGGCCACTCTGGTGGTGAATGCGCACAACAATTCAGATAAAGTCTTGGGGTATTCACCGACACAGTGGGCCTATGGGTATGATCCGAATCGTGACCATGATTTCGAGGATCCCCTCGAAGCAAACAAAGATTGCATGCCCGGTCCCAAAGTGTTCCAGGATATGGTCAAGATGAGGGAGAGAGCAGAACAAATCAATCGAGAAGAGCGCGCGCGTGAGAGCTATACTCGATTGGTAAATTCTGCGCCCAGGCCTTTGATCGACTACCGCATCGGTGACTTTGTTTGTGTCTGGAGATCGGCTACTTTGAAGGCGCGAAAGCGAGATAGTGAGTATAACCCTGAACCACGGTTTATTGGCCCAGGAAGAATCGTCCTCATTGAGCCGGCCATCCTTGAAGGCCGCAAAGAAGGGGTCATTTGGGTTTTGTATGGCACCACTCTCTATCGTTGCGCTACAGAACAGCTACGTCCAGCCACATCCCCAGAAGTGACCATGGAGTTGATCAAGGGAGGAACGGCTGTGGTGACACCTAAGAATGAATTGCTCAGGCGTCTCAAGACGTATGTCGATGTGGTTCCCGAAGCGGAAGCGGCCAAGAGGCCACCGGATCCAGAAGCAGAAAGAAGGGTTCGGCAAAGAAGAGGGGACAGTCTAGAGGATCTCAAACGGTCATGGGAGAGATTGGTGGCGATGAATGAAGCTAGGAGGACGGATGGTTTGCCACCATTGTTGACCTTGCCTCCTCAACCTATGTCCCAAACACGACAGGCGTCTTCGCCCGAGATTTTTCACATGGATGAGTCCGACGATGTGTTACCAGAAGAGGCCCCAGAGCATCATAATCAGCCTCATGAATTGTTGCAGCTCTTACGTGAACGCATTCATCAACTGGAGCAGAAAATTGAGTACGGTAAGGAAACCGATCTTCTTCGAGCCCAGGTTGAGCGAGAGCATCAGCAAGAACTACAACTTCTGCTACGTTTGCAAGATGAGAAGGTTCGGGAACAGAAGTGTTTCGTTATTGAGTTCGATATCCATAACGAGGACAGTTTGATCTCGAATCCACTGATGTATACAAAGCATGTTCTTGAGAGCAAAGGGGCTGAAGTCAACTACCGCCATCTAAAGTCTGATGAGTGTGAGCTATTTGATGAGGCCAAGGCTCGCGAACTATCAGAAGTTGCAGGGTCACAAGCTTTAAGAGCAGTACAGTCGAAAGAGGAGACACGCGAAGCATTAGCAAATCTGGACCGTCACATCCCGATGCGCTGGGTGTTAACTTGGAAGCCATTGATCCCACCTGAACCTCCTGAGCCAGGTAAGCCCACAACGGTGGACAAGTCTGGAAGCAAGAAAGCGAAGGCAAGAGTTGTTTTAATTGGCTTTAAACACCCTGATCTTGTGAAACGTGATCCGATTACAGGGAAGCCGGAATTGGCAACAGCTTCGCCTACCATTTCGCGTACTGGAAGAAATTTGCTTCTGCAAGCCATCGCGTTTGACAAGCATTTCCTAGAAAGTGCCGATGCCAAGAGTGCCTTTCTCCAGGCCGACAACCGGGAGGAGGGTCGTCGACTTTGGACACGTGGCGTTCCAGAGCTTGCGCGATCACTTGGAATGCCTGAGGCGCGTTTGTTCCGCATCATGGGTGCAGTGTATGGACTTACGAATGCTCCGCGTATCTTTTGGAAAGATGTTGATTACAAGTTCAGGAACATAGGAGCTATTCCACATGCGCTGGATCGATGCGTGTGGTTATTTCCAGATAAATTTGGGAAAATTTGCGGTAGAGCTGGTTCACAGGTAGATGATTTCTTGCTTGGTGGCGACCCGTCAAGTCCATGTTGGAAGAAGTATAGAGAGAAGATCCAACAGATGTACCGTTGGAGCCCTTGGCAGAAGAGTGATTTCATCTACAGCGGATGTCGTATCAAGCAGATGTCAAATCATAGCATCTTCTTGTCCCAGGAAGACTTCTGCAACTCAGTCCGTCCCGTGGAGATTGCGCAGGACAGATCCCGGAGTGACAATGATCAAATGTCGTCGCATGAACTGTCTCAATGCAGAGCGCTGATCATGAAATGCCAATGGCGGGCTATTCAGTCTGCACCTCAGTACTCAGCTCGGATAGGCATGTGTACTTCAGCTTTGAAGGACAACTGCCTTCGAAACCTGAGAGAGGCGAACTCAATTGCGAAAGAGCTTCGGAAGAGTGCTAAAGAGGATTTGGTATTCCATAATTTTCATGATTGCCAAGAAGTAGATATCACTTACAAGGATGTGATTTTTCTTCATTGGGGCGATGCAGGACACAAGAATCGTCCAGATCACAGTAGTACTGGTGGCTATGTAACTGGCATGTCTGTGCCTAGCATTATGCACGGCAAAGAATCTCCGGTGAGCATTCTGGATTGGCGAAGTTGGAAACTCCGAAGACCTGCAATTGGAACCAATAGCAGCGAGGGTCAAGCCATCTGTGAAGCAGAGAACAAGGGATGGCGATGTCGTCTCTTTTGGGCGTTGTTACATGGACACGAGTTGAAACATGGTCAAGCAGATGTGCTTACTTCGATGTTCATATCCTTGCTGATCACAGATTCGCGAGGTTGCTATGACATGCTTGCCTCGAATGAATCGTTAGGTATGGCTGGAGAAGATGCGAAGACTTCAGTAGATCTCCTTTCTGCCAAACATGGCCTAAGAGATGGCACTCAATGTTATCTCACATGGGTCCCTGGTGAGATGAATTTGAGTGATGCCCTCACCAAGGTCACTTCTGAGGCGTTTAAAGTCATGGCTCTGTATCATGAACGTAAAAGTTGGATTATCCGCTTTGAACAGGAATTTGTCTCGGCAAGGAAACAGCAACGCCTACGCCGTGAGAAGCAACGTCTCGAGGAGAAATCGGGACTACACTTTGCAGATCTCCCAGAATTCTGGGAAGAAGATCCGTGGAGTGCGACTTTTGCAGAGGCCTACCATAGGTAGAGTACTCTCTTTTCGGCAACATCGAGAAAGGGGAATGTATAGGTGTGTCAGTCCTCTTTTGAGCTCGCATGTTGCCTCCTAAATTCGCTGAAGAGATGCCTGTAAACATGCAACTATCGGCCCAAACTAGGGGCCCTTTGAGCTAGATTCACTACGGGCAATGGAAAAGAGCCGCCGAGTGCTCTAGAACGATATCACTTTCTTTAGTGACTCAGATTGCCTGAGACAAGTCCAAACCAGAAACCCTAAACCGCTTCAAGGCTTGGGCTGTTTGATTTAGGTCTCCCGAACCTCAGGGCTTCGTGGTTTTAGGGGGAACCCCAGCAACCCTTAACCCCGCCTGGACCCCCAAAATACCCCGTAAGAAGGGCCTAAGTGTACCCTAAGGGGGTATGTCGGGTATCTTCAAGGGTGTCTAAAAAGCAACTGCTGAAAGCCTGGAGCTATCAACCTTTTGATTAAAACCTTGAAGACCCAAACCCTCGGGTGCAGTGTTTTGTTTGAGGCTGCGGGGGCTTTAGGCTTGCGTCTCTGGAGTTCGGGTGTAGGGCTTATAGGGATTGCAGCGTTTAGGGATTAGGGTGCTTTGAGGATTTTGGGGGTTTGGGCCCGAAACCCTAAACCCTAAACCCGAAACCCTAAACCCTAAACTGGGGTGTTTAGGGATCTTAGGCTTTGGTGGGAACTTGGCGACCTGCCGCTTCGACTTCCTTCAGAGGTTTCGGCCGTGCCCCACACGGACACGCCCCCGTCGGGGGCCCCAGAGCCCGATACACCCGAAACCTATTTAGGGTTTAGGGTTTAGGGTTTAGGGTTTAGGGTTTAGGGTTTAGGGTTTAGGTTTAAGTTCTTGGGGTCCGTCGTGCCCTTTCCCGGAACCCTGCCAGAACTCTCTGTTGGTACCGGATTTGCCTACTTCTTGAGTGTCTCCGAAGCCCTACACCGTAGGGTCCAAGAAAGCACGGGGAACTAGCCCGCCATACACCTCTAAACCCTAAACACTAAGCCCTAATCCCTAAACCCCTAAGCCCTAAACCCTAAACCTTAAACCCTAAACCCTACACCCTAAACCCTAAACCCTAAACCCTAAATCCTAAATCCTAAACCCTAAACCCTAAACCCTAAACCCTAAACCCTAAACCCGAACCTTACGGCATCCTTGTAAAAGGCACCCAGAACTACCCAAGTTGATTTCGGGCGTTGCATGTTATTGAAGACTGCTTGAGGCCGTCAGAAGGACTCTTCTATACACCCCCAAATAGTAGGATCCCCTTATAATATAAGGACCCCAATAAGGTACCCCTAATATCGTACACCCCAGGATGACGACAAGCGCATCTTGTGCGAGCTTCATCCCCAAACTTCGAAATCCAAGGCCGAAACAATTGGAACTGCAGGCCATCAGGGAAGCATGCGCAGCATAGTGAGAAGCTCCGATGAACGGCGTTTTTACGCCGCCTCCACGGCTGTCACCTGACGAGCGGCTTCGGCGACTTCGGGCCGCATTCACTCTATTCCCGGTACATGGATCTTAGAATGGCGTCAGACAAGCTCTGGCATCCGAAGGGGGAGGGAGAGAGTCCACCGTATAGAAGGATCCTAAGCAGAAACAAACCCTAGACCCGCTCGACTTCACTACAACGTCCTACCCTAAACCCTAAACCCTTAAACCCTAAGCCTAAACCCTAAACCCTAAACTCTTTGGCCTTGCAGGGCCATCCATGCGCTCGTCCCCCCAGAACATGTTCTGCGCTTGGCTACACGCTGAGTAGCCTTACAGGCAGAGCTCTGAAAAAAAAATGCGCCCCAACACCCCAAAACCCCCAAAACCCCCAAGCCCCCCAAACCCCCCAAATCCCCCAACCCCCGCCCCCCCAAGAAAAAAACAGAGACACCTCAAAAACCCAAACCCCCAAAACCACCAAAAGCAAAAGACTAAAAATCCCAAAGCCGGAAGGCCCCCAAAACCTCCAAACCCTCAAGACCCCAACACCTCCAAAACCCCACAGAGGGGTTTAGGGTTTAGGGTTTAAGGTTTAGGGTTTAGGGTTTAGGGTGTACCCACGACCACAACGCCCCCCCAATGTTCGGGGGTCCCTGCTGTCACTCTAAACCCTAAACCCTAAACCCTAAATCCTACATCCTAAACCCTAAATCCTAAACCCTAAACCCTAAATCCTAAACCCTAAACCCTAAACCCTAAACTCTACACCCTAAAGCCGAAACCCGCAACGTTCGGAGGTCCCTGCTGACTGAGAGCCCGTCCCTCTCCAAACGGCGCCCATGCGAAGGTCCCACCAGTTCTTCTTTGATGAATTAGGGTTTAGGGTTCAGGGTTTAGGGTTTAGGCAGCCCTGTATACCCTAAAAACCCGAAAGCCCTAAACTCTGAACCCCAAAGCCCTAGACCCTAAATAAACTCCGGATTCAGCTTAATCCATAGTCGGAAGCAGGTGAGCGAGGAGGGGAAGCTACATCCCCCTTGGATTTATTTCTGTGTTTTTTTCATATAAAACCCAAGAAAATGTCAAGCACATTCTTTTGATTAAGGTTCTAAGGGGAGTACAGGAAGGGGGAGGGGCTCGGAACCTTACGCTCACGCCGCCTTTGTTGGTCGTATGTCTAAAGTCCCTGAATGCGACTACCTTCGCTTCTGGGATACCCTGAGATTCATCTCTGCCGTGGCAGCATACGATGCCGTTAAAGATGTCGTGGGGCGCAGAGCGCAGTTCTTTAGCTGGCTTGTGCAGGTCTGCTGTGTTCCAGGGTTGTCAATTGGACTAGGATACCGGATTTTGCTGTTTTAGCGTGTCAGTCCTGGTGTTTGCCTAGCATGAGGGGAGATGCGAGTGGTGTTAGATGTCCTGCTTGTCTTGACAAGTTCTTTGTAACATGTCTGATTGCACTGGCACCCTAGACCTTATCCCTGAATGTGGAGGGGTGGTTGGTGTTCGAGGAGGGCCTTTGACCGAGAGGCAGCCGTACCCGGCAGGCGCAAGCTATGTCGATACCAGGCTGTGCTTGCAGGTCGTAGTCCTACTAGGATGCCCAGTAGTACCCTTATTCCCTTTTTGGGGGGTTTTAGGTTCCCTCATAAACGCCCTTAAGCAAAAAGGGGCACCCTTTTTAAGCCTAGGTTACTGTGCAGCCTAGCCTAAATGATCTTAAATGCCGAGCCTAAATCCTACACCCCTGCAACGTCAAGAGCTCCAAGTACACATATCAGACCGAGCCACTCGGTGCTCTAAAGGGCCCTGGCATCCTAAACCCTAGGCCCTGCTTGAAGGCTCGTGGGTAGCTAGATGCAGGGTTCGAAAAGTACTTCATGTTCGGTTAGGATAGAGGTTACCCTTACCTATGACCCTACTTCCAACTGCGCTTATGAATCCCAAACCCTAAGCCCTGAACCCTAAAACCTAAACCCCATATGAACCTTAAACCCATGAGCATGTAAAGTGTCCCCGGGCCGCCTCGGGAGGCGTCACATCGCAGGCACCGTCGCGGCTGGGGTCTTGGACGGACACTGGCGGTGTAAACTCCACGCAACCCTGAAACCCCAAGCCCTAAACCCCCCAAACCCTAAACCCTAAACCCCAAACCCCTAAACACCAAACCCCTAAACCCCAAAGCCCAAACCGCAGTGTAAACCTCAAGCCTTCCCAGAACAGCCTACAAGGTTTTTTGTTTAAGGTAAATGCGCCCTGGCCCTTGGCAAGTTGGTTTCCGTGTTCCGTTGTGCAAGTCTAAGCAGGGTTGGTACCTTGAATGTGGTTACTTTGTTTGTAGCTGTATTCAACATTTAGCGACCCATGACCGTTTCCAGATTCTGCCTAAGTTGTTTTCCATGCCCTGAGTATCTGCTGTTCAAGTGCCCCTAAAACGGGAAAAGGGGGGCAGTAGTAAGGCAAAACAACAACGGAGAGTTGCATTCCAGCAGGCTCAAGTGGCTCACCAAGGATTCGTTTCAATCCATACCAGGGGGGTCCAAACCCAAAGAGGAGCGGTGGATTGTGAGAAAAGCCCTGTATGGGTTGGCATCATTCCACCCCTGCAAACCCCCCTCGCCCACCTGCCCGGTTCATTATGTTTTAGATGTTGATGACCCTAAACCTTAAACCCTAAGAACCTTAAACTCTCAACCCTATACAACCCTAAACCCTCTTGTGAGCTTGAACACACGCGGTGGCTCGTTCGATGCCGCTCCATGTGCAAGTGTCGCTCTTGGGTGGAAGTAGCCATCCCCTGCACATTGACCTTGAAGTATCACCCCATGACCTCCAACTTCAGGTGCAGCGTGCTCTGAGCGTTGGGAGGGGCACGCTTCTTGATCCCAGTGGAGCTACTCTTGCTGGTGCCCAAACTGTTGCAGATTCAGGTTTGAAGGATGGAGATGTTCTGACGTGGTATATGAGACCTTTCCATCTAGCTTCCGCTGATGTAGCTGCCGTGGCTGCATTATTGGGAGATGGGAAGGTCGCGGCATGGGGTTTTCCTGCTTGGGGCGGTGACAGCCGCTCCGTGGAGGATCTGCTGACCGACGTGCAGCACATTGAAGCGACAAGCGGTGCTTTCGCCGCAATTCTTAGCGATGGCTCGGTTGTGGCATGGGGCAACAGTGCTTTTGGGGGGTACACACACGGCTTTTGCGGCAATCCGCGAGGACGGGTCTGTAGTGACCTGGGGAGAGTCTTACTCTGGAGGCAATAGCACACGTGTCCAGAGCCAGCTACAGGCAGTGAAGCAGATTCAGGCCAGCGCCGCAGCCTTTGCCGCCATTACTGGCAACCACACTGTGGTCGCATGGGGCGACCCCCGCCACGGGGGTAACTGCAGAACAGTGCAAGGACGGCCTGGGCTTTGGAGTACTCTATTCTAATACTCTTTTTGCTCTGGCTTCCCATTATAGCTACTTATACCTACAAAGTATATACTTGTTTTCCAGGGCCTCCTCCAAAGCAGGGCAGCTGCCGTCCGCAGCGATGGCTCCGTTGTGACGTGGGGCGATGCGGATGAGGGCGGAGATAGCCGGGGAGCGCAAGGCCAGCTGAAGGAAGTGAAGCAGATCCGCGCCACCACCGGGGCCTTTGCAGCACTGCTTGGCGATGGATCTGTAGCTTTAGTGGCCCAGTGGTGCCCTTTTACCCTTTTGTGGGGTTTGGGGTTCTTTTATAAAGTCACCAAAACCCAAGAAAGGGGTGCCCTTATCAAAATATGGTTTCTGGGCTACCAAGGTAGTGACCTGGGGCAAAAGTGACTGTGGTGGAGACAGCCATGAAGTGCAAGGACAGCTCAGGGGTGTGCTGCAGCTGAGCGCCACGGACGAGGCCTTCGCTGCCATAATGAAGGACGTGTTGTGACTTGGGGAACCTTAGGGATACTTGGAAATAATTCTTCATGTTTGGGCACTATAATTCCTAAGAAACAGCCAAATTTAAGTTTTTTCTAGGGTTCCAAGTAGAGGAACTGCTGGCTATGGTGGTGACAGCAGTGCCTTGCCGCCATACCTGAAGGGAGTGCAGGAGCTCCAAGCTACACATTCCGCATTTGCCGCTCTGCTTGAGGACGGGTCGGTCGTCACTTGGGGCAATCCTCACTATGGTGGCGACACTAGCGAGATCCTGGCAGCCCAGTGGTAGCCTTTACCTTTTTTTTTGTTTGCTTCTGGGTGCCCTTTTTGAAGTAACCAACCCAAAAAGGGGGGTGCCCTTGTTAGAATATGGTTACTGGGCTACCCTAAACCCTAAACCCTAAACCCTAAACCCTTACAAGGTTACTGGGCTACTAAGGATCCGGGAGCCCTTGAAACAGGTTTGTCAGCTCCATTCCACGCGCAGCTCCTTCGCCGCAAGGCTTCCTCGCGGATTTGTGTGTGGGGTGGGCCAGGCCGCCGTCTTTTTTAGTTGTTTAGGGTTTAGGGTTTAGGGTTTAGGGTTTAGGGTTTAGGGTTTAGGGTTTAGGGTTTAGGGTTTAGGGTTTAGGGGACATGGCCCGGCACCTTTGAACGAAGAAGTTCTGCCAGAAGTCACTTGCGACCCGAGTGGCTTTGCGTAGACCAAGCTTGCGCACGTGCCGGCCTGCTGCTAGTGAGAGCTTGGTCTGTGTACAGCTGTGGTGCTATCCTAGCTGCATATTCATGCCAATGTCTGAAAATCAGAATGGTAGATTCCGAATAATATGTACCTGCATCTCTAGAAACCACCTCCCCCCCCCCCCCCCCCCCCCCCCAAAAAAAAAAGACAACTGTTTGCAACGTCGAGCATCCCACCTTGCCCCTGAAACCCAACTGCAAGGATTGAACGTTTTATAAACCCTAAACCGGTTCGGAAACCCCCATCACAGTTTCCCATCGTTCGCCGTGATTGCAGTGCTGTCCGAGAGCTACTGCCAGCTGTCCTTAGCACGTCGCGCGTCACGTGATGCCTGCAACTTTGTCTCTCAAGTCTAGCAACCCGCTCGTCGGGCGGAGAGAAAGGAGAATTGAAATGTCAGCACTACTGAGATTTATCTTGGGATGTTCCCGGTTCGGGTTTCGACTTCGGGTGTGTCAAAAATTGAACTTAAAACCTTTGCCCAGCTTAAACCGGATTAAGAGCTTCGAGCCAACGAAAGCGGATAGACAGGATCTGCACTTTCGCAACAAGTATGCGAACAAGCCACGACACATCCTAGAACCCTCAGCCCTAAACAGTCTACATTCCGAGAAACCCTAAACCCTAAGCCTAAACCCTAAACCCAAAGCCTCCGGTGCATGTTCCTCACCTCTAGCCATATTGGCTCAGACGTTTCGTTGCAGCACAAGGCGAGGACACGAATCAGGGCACCTGCCCTCACGCGGCACAGTCCTACACTGCTCTTTAGCGTTCAGGGATGCGCCGCCCAGTATGAAGAGTGCTGTATTATTATCATTATTATCAATTTATCATTATTATCATTATTATCATTATTATCATTATTATCATTATTATTATGATTATCATTATTATTATCATCATTATTATTAATGTACCTGCATTCAGATAGGCCCAGATAGGCTGTTGCAGGTACGGCTTTCTGCACGCCTCTGAGAGTCTGCAGACTCGCAACTGATGGACAGCAAACCTCGCCATAAACTCGGGAATTGAGCCCCCAAGCCCCAAAACCCTACTAAGGCGCAATGCCCTCAACCCTAAACCCTAAACCCTAAACCCTAAACCCTAAACCCCTTGGCAAAGCAGCCCTCTCTTCCGAAACGTGCTCCATGTCATGGCAGCTGCCATCTTCTCTCGCGCGGCCGAGGATGAGGATGAGGCGTGGCCAGTTCCCAAGCGCTCCTAGTACTTCAGGGATTTAGGGTTTAGGGTTTAGGGTTTAGGGTTTGGGGTCGCTCCTAGTGCTTATGTTAAGGCCTTTTGGGGTTTAGGGTTTAAGGTGCCTAGGGAAGTAACAACGAAGCTTACGCGGAGGTTCGATGGGTGGCTTGAAGTAGGATTAAATGTACCCAACTGAGTTTAGGGTTCGTGAGTGGGGTCTATGTAGGGTTTCACGGGCCTTCGGCATTGTATCACTCAACCCTAAACCCTAAACCCTAAAAAACTAAACCCTAATTTACTGAGTGGTGTCAACTGGATCCTGGACATGTTGGACTCCCTGTGGCTCAGACACGGGCTGGCGCGGTACGAGACACCGGCCCTCCCGGCCACAGTGGCATGGGTTTAGGGTTTAGGGTTTAGGGTTTAGGGTTTAGGGTTTAGGGTTTAGGGTTTAGGGTTTAGGGTTTAGGGTTTAGGGTTTAGGGTTTAGGGTTTAGGGTTTAGGGTTTAGGGTTTAGGGTTTAGGGTTTAGGGTTTAGGGGCGTGGGTTTAGGGTTGAATTGTTGCTTTGGGTTTTAGAGGTTTAGGGCGTTGGGGGTCGGTTTAGGGGCTTAGGCTAGGATGCCCAGTAGTACCCTTATTCCCTTTTTGGGGGGGTTTAGGTTCCCTTATCAACCCCTTTAAGCAAAAAAGGGCACCCTTTTTAAGCCTAGGTTACTGGGCAGCCTAGTAGGGTTTAGGGTTTAGGGTGTGAGCGACCCTGAATCTTGAAGTATCAGGGGCCCCGAAGACCGCCTAAACATTAGCCGGGCCCCCCAAGAAGGGAGATTCTGTAAAACCATGCTCGTAGAATCATTATGCTTATGCGTTTTTGGGGCCCCTAAAGTACAAAGGGGATTGAGGGTTTAGGGCTTATGGTGCCAAGTTCGTTGTCGGGTCTTAGGGCTTTGTGCCCCGCAAGATCTCCTAAACCCTAAAGCCAAATCTTTTTTCCGAAACATCTTGAAACCCTTAGAAACCCTTGAGACCATCGAAACCCTGAACCGACGCTAGAAACCACAAAGCCCTTAAGCCTCCTCAGCATTTCAAGAGAACGCAGAGACCCTCGGAAGCCCGAATCCGACACCCTAAACCCTAAACCCTGCAGGGTTTCGGGCTTAGGGTTTAGGATTTAGGGTTTAGGGTTTAGGGTTTAGGGTGCTTCGGGGCCAGCAGGCGCTCCAGCCACGGGAGCCGAGGGGCAGACCATGAGCTCGGAGGGTGACGAGGCCGGCGTTGGGGGGTTTAGGGTTTAGGGTTTAGGGTTTAGGGTTTAGGGTTTAGGGTTTAGGGTTTAGGGTTTAGGGTTTAGGGTTTAGGGTTCAGGGTTCAGGGTTCAGGGTTCAGGGTTTGGGGTTTGGGGTTTGGGGTTTGGGGTTTGGGGTTTGGGGTTTGGGGTTTGGGGTTTATTTAGGGTTTAGGGGCCAAGGGGGGGAGTGGTTTGGGGTTTGGGGTAGGGGTTTGGGGTGTAGGGTTTAGGGTTTGGTGTTTAGGGCTCAAGGGGTTTGTGCTTTGGGGTTTGGGCGCAACTAGACCTGCAACTATGCCTGGTAGAAATGGCTCATGCACACTGTATTTTGGGGCTGGAAGCCATCCATGATGGTGCTTGGGTGTAAGGTTGGTTTGGCAAGGGGTATGAACACCTTAAGCACAGGGTTAGGGTTTAGGGTTTTACGACTTAACGGGTTCAGAAGGATTGTGATTTGCCTTGCAGGTGCAAGGGTTTGGATGCGAGGGTTTCGGGTTTGGGTTTAGAGTTTAGGGGTTTCGAGGGCCTGCTAATGACTAGCCCGTTTTTCCCTTATCGGGTTCCAACCAACCCCTGTGAAGACTTTGATTGTGAGGGCCACCCCTAAACCCTAAAGCCCCCCGAACCCCTTTCAGCGAAGAGCCAAAACGGAGACGTCCTGGAAGTTTCAGAGCCCTCAGAATTAGGGCCCCCCCCCACGCCCCCCCCCCTCCCGCGAACCCCTGCACCCTGACTCTACACCCGAAACCATAAACCACGCACCTCCGACCCTCAACGATTCACATCAATATACAACCACAGTTTGCAAGCTCTGAACCCTAAGCGCCGCACCTCAAACCGTTAGCCCTCAACGCCCTCAACGCCCTAAGCCCTAAAACCTTAAACCCTAAACCCTAAACCCTAAACCCTAAACCCTAAACCCTAAACCCCAAACTGACAGGACGAGCGGGAAGCTTTACTGGGCTCCGTGGAGTTGGTGGCCCCAGGGCCAGCACAGGCCCAGTGCCGCGAGTAAACGGAGTCGGGGTGGCTCAAGACCCTTTGTGTGGGCTGAGGGTATTTGAGGGTTTAGGGTTTAGGGTTTAGGGTTTAGGGTTTAGGGTTTAGGGTTTAGGGTTTAGGGTTTAGGG